AAATAAAACTGCAATATTGAATATTTTTGACTGAAGCATCAGATTAACAACTCTTAAATTATTTTGTACGAAGAGCTGATACAGTTTGTAACAAATATTGTCATTTTCACCCTCTTTCATTTTCTTTCTCTTGTGGTAAACGACTATTTCCACAAAGCTATTCACGTGGTTTGGTAACCTTCGTGGTGCTCTTTTATTTCCATTTACTGGGCTATTTCGTGGTTGAATTCTCTCTTTTATCAGTTTGTGAGAAAACACACATCTATCTAAAATATATTTTCGATTCTAGTTACAATCTTATTTTGTGGCTGAAGACTTCTCGTGCCTCTTTTATTTCCAGTTACTGGGCTATTTCGTGGTTAAAGTCTCTCTTTTTTTTATTGGTTTGTGAGAAAACACACATCTATCTAGAATATATTTTCGTTTCTAGTTACCAGTTTATTTTGTGGCTGAAGACTTCTCGTGCCTATTTATTTCCAGTTACTGGGCTATTTCGTGGTTAAAGTCTCTCTTTTTTTTTATTGGTTTGTGAGAAAACACACATCTATCTAGAATATATTTTCGTTTCTAGTTACCAGTTTATTTTGTGGCTGAAGTCTGCGCGTACCTCTTTTATTAGTTTACGAGAAAGCAAACCTCTATCTGGTGTATTTCCATTCAGAGTTACTAGAATATTTCATGGCATGCGTACTTCCTTTCCATCGTTAGTTTGTAAGCCGCAAGCAACTTTCTAATGTAAATTAATAAACTTGCAGTTTTTAATCTTAATAGTAAAACCTATTAGTTTTTAGGTATTTTTATGTGTAAGTATAGTATAAAAGTGGCTGACTGGATGCGTACTTCAATTTAACAACGTGTTTCAATCGATTAAAGGAAAAGCCAATTGCCGAAGGTATGCAGAAAACTTTCCGTCGCCTGGAAACATTATTTAATAATTACAATACTTTGAAAACAGAGCCATCTAGTGGCTAACTTGCATATCATAATTTTGTCATTTTAAAATACAGCGTATCTCCAATTTAAAAAAAAGTGTAAAGAATTTTCTATGGAATACATACACTTGCTTAGGTAAAACGTTTATTATAGATGATACCTAACTTTATTACATTAAGTTAATAACTAAGTAAAAGTTTTTACTTCAATGTTAGGCTCTGTATTTTACATCGCGTAGTTTTTAGGTGATTACATATACACAGCGTGGTCACAAGTAAATAGACACCACCTTTTCAGAAAAAATGAAATTTTTCAGTCATATTCACATGAATTGATATATTTATAATTTAATTCATATCTAGTAGATCTTCCTTTCGCTTCGTGGAGTTTGTTGATCCTTTCGGGCATCGTGAGAATCATCTCGTCAATTTTAGATTGTGGGATTTTTGTCCACTCTTGCTTCAAAACATGGAGTAGATCGCTCTTCGAAGTTGAGTTTTTTCGTTGTTTTTTTTTGTTTCTTGACTTGCCGGTCGAGTATGGCCCAGAGGTTTTTCGATGGGGTTCATGTCAGGAGATTGGCTCGGCCAGGGAAACTTCTGGATACCATTTTCTTCCTGCCACTTTTGGATGTTTCTAGCAGTGTGACACGGT